CCCACTCTCATGGCCTTCCGAAAGTCTACCAAAACCTGGCTATTCTGGCAGGCCTGGGGGTGTTGACTTCATGAATGAGGTCCAGCCCCGCCTAGATTGAGTGCATGAAGTGATCTTTTAATCTGTTTTAATCTGTTTTTTCTCTCTATTTTTAATTCTTTATTTTTTTTAAAAAAAAACATATTTCTGTAAGCCGCCCGGAGTCCTTCGGGGTTGGGCAGCTTATAAATTTATTAAATACTTAAATACTTAAATCATGAAAAAAATAATTCTCCTGCCTCCATTCTAACACCTTGATTTCAAGAAAAGATTACACTTTCAGAGAGTTTCAGCATGTCTGCTCAGCTTTTATTTCTGGTTGATTACAGTTCTCTGAAAGTGTACAAGTATTGAAAACAAAAGAAAGAATGTGAAACAAATCAATATAAAACAAAGACAGCAGTAATAACAATAGTAAAAATAATAATAAATCCATCTGGAAAAATAATAGTTGATATGCTTTGTAGATTAAAAGCAGATATCAGAAAAGTGTCCAGGAAGATTCAGTTCACAGATGGCAGAGTGGGGGGAGGAGGAATCAGTCCTGAACAAGTTCTTCCCTTGTGGCCACCCCTCTTGCCTCACTAGGTAGGGATCCACGAAGAAAGATCTCAGAAACATACCATATTTTTCAGAGTATAAGATGCGCTTTCCCCCCAAAAAAGAGGGTGAAAATTTGGGTGCATCTTATACCCTGAATGTAGCTCCACCCACCCACTGGCCCCCACCCTTTGGCCTCTGCCTCCCAGCAATTTGCCTCCTTGCAGCAAACAGAAAACAGCCTGTTTCAGTTTCAGCTTCAGCACAGCCTGATTAGCATAAGAAGCTGATTGTCTGATGGATCGGCCTTCTGATGATCAGCTCAGGCTGCAGGGATTGCCATTGCCTATTGCTGCCTCTGTGGGCCCCATTTTCAGCCTCCACATGCCCCATTTTTCACCCATTCTGATCCCCACGGTCCAGAACAGAAAATGGGGCACAGAAGTTTTTTTTAAAATCAATATTATTGAAATTGCAGGACCTTAACTCAGAGAAACGCTGTGCCAATATCTGCTCTTTCCCAAGTTATAACCCACAATGCAATAAAGAAAACTACCATAACTAAAAGATTATGTTATGGGGAACATCTATTTAATTTTTTAAAAAAATTCAACAATAAGACAAAGGGTGATGAATTGAGATACTAAAGTGAAGCATAGCACCCTTTTTTGTCAGGGTTGAACAAAGAACTTACAACTTTGCATATTTACATTGATTAAATGTGTGAATGGCCAGCTGTGTGACATACCAATGAGTTAAAGTTCATTCCAGTTCAAAATCTGCAAATACACGATCACAGTAACCACACTACTTCCACTAGAGATGATTCATATGTTTAACTGAGAGTCCTAAAAGAAGGATTTGCTATGTGATATTTGTCGATTGAACCTTCATATTTATGTCTTATTGATTTCAGTAGGATTACCTTGGCTATGTTGTGGTACAAACTGGTGACAAAAATATAGGTTGACTCTCTCTCTTTCCCCTGATTCTTTGCTATTTGCCGAGCTCTGCCATGGGAATGGCTGCTGAGTGATACAAAGATTAATGGTAGTTATGCCATGTGGGATGGGCAGGTTTTCATACTTTACATACCATTGAGTCCTGGACACACAATGTTTTCTTTTACCCTTTGAATATTAGGGACTGATATAAAGCTGCAAAAGCTTCATTTTCAGATGGCTGCTTTTTGGTTTGTGTTCCTGTATCTAGCTACCCTTACACAGACTAGCTTGCTGCAGGTGTGAAACAGGAAGCTGTACTGAAAGAGAAAGAAGGGAGAGAGAGAGAGAGAGAGAGAGAGAGAGAGAGAGAGAGAGGGAGGGAGAGGGAGAGAGAGAGAGAGAGAAGAGTGCAGTACTTTTTCTCTAGGAGCTCCACGTGAATCAATTTTAATTAGAGCATGTTATGCTTCAGCTCCTGGCTTTCCCATTTGCTGTGTGGCGAGCCTGTTTGAAAGATTGCATTCTATGGCAAGCTCTACCTCCATCTCTTCTTCTTTTTCCTCCTCCTCCTTCTCTGTCTTCTGCAAATGTTACAACATCAATTGAAATTTCCTCTTTTCTTTCTTTTCTGCGTGCCTTGCAGATCCCTTTGCGTCAGAAGACGAGAAAGAAAAATCAAGGTACTGAGTCTGCTTTGTTCCTCTTTTTGTTTACATTGATATCTTACTCATGTGAAGCTGAGGGCTTTTCAAATCAGCTTGTGGTAGTGCTGGTGGCGGTTGCTGTTTCGTACTCTGTTCAATTTTTGGTTTGACAGCAGAAAACAATGACATGCTCTTCATTTGGACTAAACTGCTTTGGTATGTCAATAATGGTGTCTCTGAGTGTATCTGTGTGTGTGTGTGTGTGTGTGTGTATGTGTGTGTGTGTGAAGCAAGACAAATGCCTTATCAGCTGTGACCAATAATTTTGAGGCAAATTAGCTTCGAAGGATATTTTAGCCACACATTAATACTTGCTGGAGAGATCTCTAAGGGTAAAAACTAGCAGCTGATTTTCATTGGAAATATATTTCTCACTCTGAGGGAGTTTTCCTGAAAGCGTCGCTTTCACTAATTTAACTCTGTGAACAGTTTGTACCCTGAAAATCCTAGGGTGCATTTAAAAGTAAAAATAATATTCAGCTTGGGGTTTTTTGTGTTTATTAAAGTGACACTTGCTTCTAATCACACAGGTTTTTACACCATGAGTCGCCGAAGGATCTCATGTAAGGATCTCGGACTGGCTGATTGTCAGGGTTGGCTGTATAAAAAAAAGGAAAAAGGAGGCTTTATTGGCAACAAATGGAAAAAGTTTTGGTGTGTCCTGAAGGCTTCGTCTTTATACTGGTATAGCAATCAACTGGTAAGAATGTCAATTTCTTCATTTCTATAAAGAAACCAAAATAGAATTGTACTTCCCTACAATTAAATCCTGCCTAAAACTTAACTATATATATCTGGTGCATTTCGGTGTCATATATGAGGTAATTCAACAATGGTGGGAAAGACACTGTTTCTGACGGGGATAGTGGGGTTGTCTGTTGTTGATAAAAAAATATGTTAATAAACTATATCTCATGTCAATCAACAGCCAGAGAGAAGTTTGGGGTTTGTAAGAAGAGAAGAATGCATTTATTTCCCACTTCTGTGCAATCAATCCTATCCACATTCTTTTTCCCCCTACAGTTTGTAAGGTAGGAAAGGGAAAATGTTATGACTGGAGTATGTCAGAATGGCTACAAATGCTACATCTTTCCTCTCTACCCCTCTATGAGGCTGGCACCAACTCTGCTGGCCTTCTGGAAGGCCGTTGAAACATGGTTTTGTGTACCAACTTGGATATAACATGCTAGTGGAACCTGCTTGATGCTATGTATGACAATTAATGGAAAGCATCTTGGGATGTTTTGCTGCTATTTTGTTTTTTAACTGTTTCACCTTTTTAAAAAAAAATCAAATTGGCTGTTTCAATATTTTTGATATATTTAGATTATTATTTTGAATACCGCCCATATTCAAAATAATATGTGAGACGTCAGCTACATCAGCGTGATTGAATCAGTCAACAAATGAAAACTGTTTGTGCTCTTTTTGCCTAATCGTGCTCACTAGCTTGATGCAAATGAACTTATAGATCGACAATCCAAGCAATTTCTTTATTGGATATAAGCATTTATGTCCCACTTTCCTTACACCCATGTACGATTCACAGATGTCCTTTCCATTAGAGCAGTTTTGTTCCGAGATGGCATTTTATAAATAATTTAAATATGTCCTTCATTTTTTTAGGAAGTTACACTGATAAATTAGTGTCAGCAAAGCTTAACATAAATAGTTTCTGTTTCTATTATTGTTATTATGCCAACTGACCTTTATCTGTCTTTTCCACTCTTGTGGTCTCCATATTGCAATATCTATAATTGCAGTTACTGCCTTGTATGGAGATTATAGGACTTGCGTTTCAATATGACTAAATTTTTCTTACCATACTGCATTCATAAAGGTAATCTGGCATAACATTTTTTGAAAAACCAACTAGTTAGGGGGTTACTTATAGTGTAGATGTCTGGACCAGTGGTGGGATTCAGCCCGTTTGCACCGCTTTGGGAGAACTGGTTGTTAAGTTTCTGAGCAGTTTGGTGAATTGGTTGTTGGAAGAAATCATTAAGGCAGAGAAATGGTTATTATATTATTTGAATCCCACGACTGGTAAGTAGGGCAAAACACCAGTTCCCCAAAGTATAATTCATTTGAGATTCCAAGGTGATACTAGAAATATGAATCAATTTAAATGTTGAGATTCTAATCCAATTAGAATACAGAAACAGCTCTTGTTGCCTTCTGGGAGTCAAGGTGCTAAGGTTGTTTTGATATTTTTTTAAAAATAAATCTGACATCAGTATCTCTTTGATCCACTGTAAGGTTTGGTAACTGTGGAGTCCTTGATGCTCTCTTAGATATTTTCTTGGAGACATTTTATTATCAGACTAGATAACATCTTTAGTCCTAGATGGTTCAGTGTCAGAAGTTTTCCTTGATTAAGAAGTTTGTTCTAAGAGAATTCTACTCTTAATCTATGGATATCACAGTATTTTTAGTATCCTATTAAATTATAGCATGGATACTGTGCATCAAGATTTTGGTGAGGAGTGTGTCCTGATTAGTTTGAAGACATGAAAAGCTGAAGAGGGTTTATCCTTTTGCCTTTGTTTTAACTGTGTTGTTAAACAAATAGTTTCAATTTTGGTTCACTACTGCCTCTGAGGTTTTACTGAAAAGAAGAATGAAAAACCATTAAATAGAATTGACAACAATCATTTTAAACTTGATTCTAAAACAGTTGGAGATATTCATGGGGAAATCCACTCAACATTAATTAGCATGATTTGCTTGTTAAAAATGGAATCACGGTCTTCATTAATGATCACTCAATTTAATTGATTCCTATGTTATTCTTGGATGTATATATATATACATACATACATACATACATACGTGTGTGTGTGTGTGTGTGTGTGTGTGTGTGTATGGTTATGGTTAGCTCAATGGTTAACACATCTGCCTAAAAGGCAATAGAGCACAGGTTCGATTCCCAGCAAGG